TGTGGTCCAGAGCCAGTCCCCCCCCCTCACCCCTGGAGACCCTCCCTGGGTCAGAAACCTGCCAAAATCTGTGTTTTCCACTTGTGGTCTTCCTCTCTGTGACAGTGTTTGAGCAACTCAGTTGATGCGTCATACACAAACTTCTCATTGGGGCAGTCGTCCCTTCGTTAGGGGAAGAAGACTTGATGAACATGTAGGAACCCTTCAGTGTTAGCACAAAGCCCTTCATTCCCCTGCAGGAACCCAACAAACCCTGGTTCTGCTTTTGTTTGCACTGTCCTCTGACTGCTTTGAGAACGAGTACCAGGAACTCAGTCTGGGCTCCGCTCAGGAGGTGATGTTAAATCCAAGTTCAGGTGCTTTCAGGGGTCAGTGGCAGCGTGGTCGATGGTGATTGGACGACTACAATAAGCACAAGAACAGTAACCACCTTTACTGCATCTGTATAGAGGAGAGCAACCGGCACTTTAAAGACAGAACTTTAGCTGTGTAGAGGAAGTCATTCAGAGTCAGTCAGGGTTCTGTTCAGGTTCTGGTCAGAACCAGGTTGGCACGTTCCTGCAGTGGAAAGTTCTCCTCTTAACCATCAGCTGTAATCCAGCTGTTTACTGGTTGACTTTATCCTTTGATGACACTTGTTTTTTTATAAGAGATGAAGAGTGAGGATGATGATGTGTTTTTTAACGGACTGTGTGTTTCTGCTCTGAACATTAATAAAATAAACTGCAGCACCTCGACTCACTGTGTCTCTCTCACTGTACAAGATCCTTCTGGTTTTATACAGTCCGACCCACAAGGGTTGTTCAGATGTTCACAGACATAAAGGTCACATTGAATCAAAGACAGAATATATTCAGGCCAACAGGAAAAACACAGAACATAAATGTTACATTGGCCGTCATCGTCCTGTCGCGGTCGTCCTGTCGTGGTCGTCCTGTCGCGGTAATGCGAGCGTCTGTAGGACTGATGGTAACAGTAAAGTTAGTAAGTGGACCTTGAGTTGAGGTTATCTTCCTGTGTCTCACCCTTTCTGCCCCCTTCAGTTCATTTCTCATTTTCAGTTGCTGCTCCTTGTTTTTTCTCCTTTGTGTTGCCATGGTTACTGTTATTTTATCCATTCATTTATTTTCGCCATCTGTTGACCCACCTTTCCGTTGTGTTTTCTTTTTGTCCCCCCCGCTGTGTGTCTTCCTCTGTGGTGTCCGTCTCCTGAAGAGTCAGTTGTGTCTTCCTCTGCACATTCTGGAGGAGCGAGGGCTCCCTCAGGTGGCCGGGACCGTCAGCGCCCTGCTCGACCTGGCCCCGCCCAGACACCCCGTCACCCCAACGACGACGACGACCCCACCTGGACCCTCCGTAAACATCTAGACAAGACAACCACCCCCGCACATGCTCAGTGCGCCTCCTGTAACGCTCCTGCGGGTTGGTTTTAAGGCAGCAGGAGGAGGACGAGAGGAACCTACAAGCAGATTGGTTTAGATAAAAACCTCCAGAACAGCAGGTCTGGATCTGATGGAGACACAGCGACAGGTTTCTGACAACAGCTCGCGTCAACAGCTCAAACTTAAAGTGAAGCTCTGTTTAAGAGAGAAAATGTAACGCACTAAATATGTGACATTAAATATTCAATATCATATCTAAATAATCATTCAACTGGAACTGTAGAGAATAAAATGTTAGAACTGTTCAGTCTCCAGATGTTACACTGACTGATGCTAACCTGGACAGCTGATTGGCTGATTGGGACACTATTGGAGGTTTGAGGAGTCATTGGCAGAGGTCAGATGCAGCTGTGCAGCCAAACAGCTGCTGTAATAACTAATAATGCTAATAATGCTAACTGTCAGTGTGTACCCGGACTGTACAGTTCTCTCATTAAACATTACTGTGGCTGTTAAACTGTAATCTGATGAGTCTCATACAGTTTTACATCTTTGAGTTGAAGAATTATTGAGTAACGTAGCAGCATGAAGCTAACTTTATGGTCTAGTTTGTGAGTCTTCCTAAACTCTGGTGATGTAAGATATTAAGACACTTTGATATTTGAACTGTCGTCAGTTTTAACTCTGTTACAGTCCATTGTGGAGGTTGTTGCCTCAACAGCTTTCTGCAGTCTTCAACTGACATTATTTACCTTTTATTTATTTATAGATCCAATGGATAATGTTTATTTTATTCTATTTAGACACAGAACATGTAAATTCAACAATAAAATCTTTAAAGATTAAATTATGAGTAAAAAAACAAACACCGAAATACAATTAAAACAGATTGAAGTTGTATTAATAACCAAGCTAATGTAGCTTAATGCTAACAATAACTGTAGTTTAAAGATGACACTAATATAGCTCGCTGCTAACGGCAGACATTATTGATGGAGTTGATGCTAACGTAGCTTTCAGCTAACATTAGCAAACATTGCTGTAAACGTTCTCTAATATTAAACACTTAGTTTAAAACGACTAATAATTACAGTAGACACTGTGAAACCGTTAGCTCTACATGTTAGCTGACACTGCTAATTGCTAATGACAAGAAAATACTCAACGCTAATACGAGCTAACTTTATTAGGCTAACATAGCTAGCTGCAAACCTGAGCTAACATTAATACAGTCTGAAGCTAATGTTGCTAATGATACAATATATTTCGATAATAGTAGCTAATATTAAAGCACGCGGTTTGAAGCTGAAATAAAAACAAGTTAAATTAATAATGATCGCTAACTGCTAATACTAGCTAACATTATGAATCTCACTAATCTATTTCGCTAATAATGTCGTTGGTTTGCGATGATAGCTAGCTGTAATCTGTTGGTTTGGACTTTAAGCTAATGTAGCTTAGTGCTAACGTTAGCTAACATGTCGCTGTTGTCAGTTGAATCTTTAGTTTTTAGTCTCCGTCAGATCCAAACGTCAGAATTTACAGTTTATATTTAAATTAGTCTTTTTCATCTTTATTGTGTTCGGTGGACTTTAGCGACGGACGAGTTGAAGACAAACGTCGGCCGAACTCTGAACTCTGTCTGAGGATCTTTGTCTTCAGTTTCTGTTCTTTGTACACAGGATTGTTTTTATCTGCACCCTTTATATTATTCTCTTTATCATTATGACAGTCTGAGCTCTGATCACCTCCTGATTGATCCTCCACCTGTGATCAGGATCCAACTGCTGCATTGATTCACTTCAGTTCTGTTTATGGAATCAACCAGTCAACATAAACCAACTGTTGGAGAACGTTGACTAGTCTGGTTCTAACTTCAATCAGGGAACAGTGGTTCTCAACCTGGGGTTCACGACCCCTCTAATGATCCAATCTGAGGGCTCATTACAAAATTAATTACAACAGAAGAAAAAACACAACTGCACAAAATCTATTTTACTTAGTAATAAATCAGAACATCGACGCTCTCTGGTTCCCTACGCTGTAACACAGACGCTCTCTGGTTCCCTACGCTGTAACACAGACGCTCTCTGGTTCCCTACGCTGTAAC